CCCCAAAGGATCAACGAATTCCACAAAGCGAAAGGAAGATACTACTAGATATTAATTAAATTATAAATATATCAATTCATGTGAATATGACTGAAAATTTTCATTTTTTCTGAAAAGGTGGTGTCTATTTACTTGTGACCATACTGTGTATGTAGGTATGAAGAACAAAGGCGGTTTGATATCCTGAAAATTACAAAAAGAATACATATTTATATATGTACTGTTGCATCTCGTTTCACCCGAAAACAATATTTGACTTCGAGGTTTCTGCAATTATTGCGTATGTCTCACCTCAGGTTACTGTCCTTAGACTCCGGAAATACCATTCTGTCCCCACGTGTAGACTGGCATCTTTTCCAATTTACTTTAAATGGTAATTATAGGTTTAAATCACATTGGCAAAATTCGGTAATTATTAAAGAACAATCACCTAACTTGTCCGAAAAGCAGCAATTGATATTTCATCCTATTCCTGTTTTGTGGCACATCATTGTAAAAATCTAGATAGAGCAAAATCCCCTGTTCGAAAATAAGAGGCGATGTATACCCCTTAGCTAAAAGCAAAATCCCTTGTCGAAATAAGAGGAGATGTAAACCCATTATATAACAGCAAAACCTCCTGTCGGAAATAAGAGGAGATGTAAACCCATTATATAACAGCAAAATCCCCTGTTCGGAAATAAGAGGAGATGTAAACCCCTTAGCTAACAGTAAAAACCCCTGTCGGAAATAATAGGAGATTTTCGTGTACGTCGGTCTCTTCAAAGTGATCCAGACCAAACTTGGGAAGGACTATTCCATCTTGTGTAAAATGTTCGTGTACATCGGTCTCTTCAAAGTGATCCAGACCAAACTTGGGGAGGACTGTTCTATCTTGTATAAAATTATCGTGTACATCGGTCTCTTCAAAGTGATCCAGACCAAACTTGGGAAGGACTGTTCCATTTTGTGTAAAATGTTCGTGTACATCGGTCTCTTAGCTTTTGAGATACAAGCACGTAAACATAGACACACATGGACTCGATTGCAATACCATCATCCCAACAATTTCAGATCTCTTAAGCTATCCTCGAATGACAACCTTTCCATCCCAGGTATCATCTTAATAATAGACCTCTACTGAACCCTTTCCAACAATTCAATGTCCTTCTTAAGGTACGTAACCCAAGAATGAGCACATTACTCCAAACTGTGTAAATTCAGTTTACAAAAATTGAAACTTTACTACAGCTAATTTGTGTAGTACATAGGTTTCTGTGAGGATTTCAATAGTGAAAATATTTGGAGGATAATTTCAACATACGTGAACTGAAGATAAATAATATAAAACTATAAACACGTGTAAAATATTTACACATAAATAGTTTGTAAGTAAAAAAAAACAATCAAAATTTTATATTTATAGTTCGTTATACGTTGAAATGTACGACATTTTTTGCATATTGACTGTGAACTTAAAAATAAGTGGTCTATACCAAAAGCGTTTCCGCCTTATTTCAAATCAATGTTTAAAACCTGGCACGTGACTGCCATAACAACAGGGGGTCTCATGGTTCTCGCCTAACAGCCAAATGAACACTCCAGGAGACAAGGTGCACAATGAAGTTAAAAACAATTACAAATATCTAAATATTCAGAAGTTCTACGTAGTAAATAAGTAACAGTTTTTTTAGGAAACTCTCAGCTGACCTCTTAAAACTAGTCACATTCGAAACAGATCGAAAGTTGGAAAAGTTGCAATTTTACGTGATTATTAATTTTCAAATAAAACTATTATTCGTAATAATACAATGAAATAACTGCAAAATATTGAAAGAATTTATAAATTATTTTCTTAACGTATTTTTAATATTCTTTATATTACTTAATGAAAACTAACATCAATCCAAATTGTTTGTGAGGTTGAACTAAGTAACTTTGTGAAGAAAAAAACAAAAAAGATCAGAATAAACAACATAGCCATGTGTTTTCTAACATAGATGTAATATTGTAAACTCCGATAAAGACCTGAGTAAATTTTCTTTTGTTTCATGCATGTTTCCAACATATGTGCCAAGTACAAACTGTCTTATTGAAATGTATTTTGCTTGCAAGCAGTGTACACAGTTGGGGACAAGTGACCACTGTGTTACTATTTCATTAGCCAATACCAAACACTGTCCATCCACCTAACCAACACTGAATGTTACATAAATGACCTTCACAAGCAGTACAGCGAAAATAAATGATGAGATAAAATGTCAACGAGCTATCTCTAAAAATAATGTTCTAAATGGCATTTATTATATTTTGTTGATGCAAAATCATAATATGATTGCGGAATAGTTCAGAAGAGTAGTTGGCCTAACTTTCACCTATATAGCCTTGTTTAGAACACTGAAGAAAGCAACCGTGGTGCAGGTGAATGGCCACAAGGTAAAGGAATAGCCAATGGTCAGGAATCAAAAAGTAGTACAATAGCACAAGTATAATTGACGAGTTAGTCTCAACAATGAGACTGGGGAAAGTGATTATATAAAAATCAACAAGAAAAAAGTAAAAAAGGAAATAAAGTACCTGACAAAAAACCTTACTGCCATATTCTGAATCATTTTTCACAAACTGGGATTTCATGAAGGGTTATAACAATGAAAGAATTAGCATTTGTTAGACCTTGTATACTACAACGTTTGATAGTTTTTATTTCATAGATATTCTGCCAATAGGGATCTGCAAGATTCTTATGTAGTTTACACAAATTTTACATAAACACTAAAGAGCCTTTATGTTTGTGCCTAAATGAAAGTTTTTAAGGTGATATATAAGAAATGTTCAGGAAAATCTGAATTCAAATTGTGTTGTCACATCGGATATTAAAGTTTTATAACTAAATAGTTAGCCTTGGTTTTTTCTACTGTCATCAACAAAGATAAACTAAAATACATTTAGAAACCTAATTTTATATTGTCAACTAACATTTAATGCATTGTTTAATAACCTTTATCAGTATCCATCTTTTTAAGCTTGTATACGTGTATATCATAAGTACAGTAATACTTATAGTAGGAATGAGTCAGGTGTACAATATGTGCAAACAGATAGACGGTAGCACTGCCTATGTAGGGGTGGCCCGGATTGTTCAACGAAATCGTATTTTAAATATCTCCTCAATAGGTCACTAGAACTTTACAATACTAAATAGTGTTACCCTTTATAACAATATCTACGTAATGACTGAGTCACAAGTCCTGAGAGGGTCTGTAAACATCATAGCAAAAAGTTTGAATTTCTTGTTCTGCTTTTTTTATTACACGTTAATTCAAAAAACAAAACACTGGTATTTCACGAGGTGACAGAGTTTCAAAGGGAGTACCGCCGTTTATCAGTATTATCTTGTACACATATAAAACACTGTTGAATAATAAATTGAATCGTGCATGTGCACGTCCCAAGTTTGGTATTGCTGGCGCACAAGAATATAGCTAACAAGAAAAAACGTTTAAAAAAAAGGAAGTAAACGCACGGATGGCATTTGCATCATCCCTACATAATAGCACAGGTAAGAATCATGATATAGCTCTTGTGACTCGTCTCATACACCAGATAATTATTACAATAATTTTTTCTTTCAAGACATTATTACAAAATTATCTATTAAACAGTACAGGTTCATATTGACCTAAACGTGTAATAATATATGCATACAAAATTATACGAAAATATAAAGTAATAAGTTATTTATCCCTGTAATGATACTAGGTAGAAGTGCACAACTCTTTGTAAGTGAAAACATTCAGACCTCATAAATGTAATTGAGGACAAACTGAACATTTCGAGCTGGCTGCCATCTATGATATTTTATGTGAACTAAGCCTTAATGCATTTTCTATGGGCATTTATAGTTCATCTCTCTTACAAAAAAACTGTATTACTTAGAAAGAGATTTTAAGAGTAAATCATAAACGACTGGTTTTATTTTATGATATCTTAAAATTACGACAGAATTGCGTTTACATGAAAAAAACATTTTAAAAAATATCATTGAAAAACCAAAAAAAAGATTAACCATCAGGTACGATGGCGAGTAACTAGGTGCAAAAAAAATCACCACTTTAACCATACAGTGTTTATGTAGTAACTGAATTTAATAAAAACTGTTATACAAGTCTTCTAATTTCAACATGTAACTAAATCTTTAATGTCATGACTTTCTAAGAAGTTATTTTTCGAACATTTTATTTAGTAACTGAATTTCATGTAACTTTTTAAAAATTCATTTAATACAAAACTGTTACATAAGTCTTTTAATTTCAACATGTAACTAAATCTTTAATGTCATGACTTTTCCAAGATGTTATTTTTAAAATATTTGGAACATCATTTTAATACTTGTATAAAGGTGAAGGCCAGAATAGTAGGGCTAGGGTACACAAATATAAAGACAGTTTTATTTTTCTAATAGGGTGGTTGGCCTCTGGAATGGGTTACCTTCAGATGTTGTGGAAGCAGTAAATTTACGCGAGTTTAAGAGAAAGATTGATAACTATATGAATGATAAGAGCTAGCTTTAAGATTTTTAAAAATTCTATTTATTTATGAGTTTTCATTTAATTCAGAGGATGTGACAGCCAAGATTGATCAATAAGTCCCTTGTTGTGCCTAAACATTATGCTATGTTAAAAGTAATATTTACATTCTACTTGTGATGGTAACATTTACGATTTTTGTCAGTTCTAGAGCATAAACTGTAACTGAAAGATATTAAACTTGCATGTTCTAATCGTAGTTGTAGTATTTTGTAAACACATAGAATAACAATATGCAAGATATTACTTAACAATCAATATTGAAAAAAAAATTTTTTTACTAATAATTTTCTTTTACCTATGTCAACATGTCTCGCATACCACTAATAAGAAAGCACTATTGGAAAAATCAGTTTTTAAAATAAATTTAGGTATTTCAAGTACATGTATATTTTTCATTTTATTACAAGTCAGGAATAAAACGTACATATTTATCACATTATTGTATAAATATATCAATCAGATCATTCAAAATATTAAGAGAAATTACAGAAGTAAAAATAAAAATTTTAAAACCATTTCATTTTTACCAAACATGATTGGGGTTAGTTTAAAAACTAACCCTAACCTTGTAATATATTTTCACTTTATTTTATGAATTCCTCGCCTATGTTTTTTGTATGCAAAGGCAGTTCTAAATTGTTTTTCACACATTTCACACCCATATGGCCTTTCACCAGTATGAACCCTTAAATGAATTCTTAAATTTAATGTTCTTTTGAACTTCTTTTCACACATGTCACATGGATAAGGCCTTTCTTCTGAGTGCACAGTTTTTAAGTGAGTTTCAAGTGCATAATTTTTTGTAAAACCTTTACCACAGTGTTCACATTGATGTTTCTTTTCTTGATGTGTTACCTGGTGTTTCTTTAAGTTGCTTTTTGTCGTAAACATTTTTCCACAAACTTCACACATAAAAGACCTTTTAAGTATTTTTGTCGAATGCATTATTAACTTGTGATACTTGAAAGTTTTTTGAGTTGATAATCTTAATCCACAATGATCACATTTGAAAGGCTTTACAGTTGTACGATGAGACTCTTCATGGATCTTCATACCATATACGGTTTTTAAATCTTTCCCACAAATGCCACAGTTGTAAAGAGGACGATTAGCATCATGTGTACGCAAGTGGATTGATAGTTTATTCTGATCATAAAAGAGTTTCTTGCAAACATCACAAGAAAATTTTTTCTCCCTTTTCCTCTTAACTGGAAATAAATTCTTAAAGGATTTTTCAGTTAAAGCATTAGGACCTGGAACTGTGGAAGTTTCAGTACTTGTCATGATGAGATTACCTGAAATAATGAAGAAAAAGTTAATTTCATAAACTTGATTGTCTAACATGAAATACACAAAAGATGTTTCAATATATATATTAGAATTGGACAATTAACTAGATCAACTAACATAACTATTAGCCAAGAGCATAGATTTCATCAATTTATATCATGTAGAATAATTTATCTAAATCAAAAATTGATTATTGTCGAAAATATATAATTAATTGAAACCAGTGTTTCAAATCATTTCAAGTAACCAAGTAATTGAATTATTACCACTTTGATTCCCTGTGTCAGAAAATAACATAGGTTCAAGAAGTCTTAATATAAAATGATAAAACTCTATAACCCGAGAGCTTTTGAAGGCTCCACCTTTTGAATGTGCTTGGGTTATAGGGTTTTA